GTAGAAGAACAAAGGGCCTCATTGTGTTTCGTCCTGCTGTTTCACCTCAAACATCACAATAAAGTTCCTTTGCTCTCAGGTTTCTGACAAACTTTCACCACATTTGCTTTAGCTGTTCTGGTCAGAAATAATCCACAGACTCTGGGCGTTTTATCTCCTGTGGCTCTAATCTTTACCTGAGCTCAGACTTCAGGTGATAACGGCGGTCAGGAGTCAGCGCCGCTCTGAATAACAAGCGATAACACAAAACATAATTTAAGGTGTTGTTTTACTGCTGCAGGTTTTTGTGTTTAATCATTGCAAATGTAGTTTTTATTTTGGTTTATTTTAACAAAAGACAAGTTTTTATAAGTAATCTGTTAATATGTTCATGAGGTAGGCTCCACATGATCTGAAAGTCACAGAGATTTACATTTAACTCTTGTTTGTTTCTTCAGAATCGTCTCAGCCATTGTGGGTGTCTGCCTCACATTGTTTCATGGATCTTTAGCTCTTCTAATTTAGTCTCTGGTGTCAACAGCCCAAAAGCAGCACGGCTGTATTTTATCCTCTGACAGAAAACATCTGAATGTCCAGGTGTGAAATATTAATGATCATAACTGGGACACATGGGTGTGGCTGCCAAGGTGTGAACAGAGCGAGCCAAACTGGTACAATTAACAACAAAATAGTGCAGTTTTGTAAGATGAACACAAAAATGAACTGAGATTTACAAGATGTGGCTTCACAGAAACTCAATCTGAGAATATAGAGTCACTCACCTGGAGAGAAGAGAGCAGGTTGGTTTTTATACAGGTGCTGCTCACCTTCAGGTAGAATATGTGCATGTGTGTATGTAAGTGTGTGCGTGTGTTTATGTGTGCATGTGTGTATGTAAGTGTGTGCGTGTGTGCATGTGTGTGCATTTGTGCATGTGTGTGTGTGTGTGTGTGCATGAGTGCATGTGTGCATGTAAGTGTGTTCATGTGTGCATGTAAGTGTGTGCATTTGTGTGTGTGTGTGCACGTGTGCTTGTGTGCATGTGTGAGTGTGTTCATGTGTGCATGTAAGTGTGTGCATGTGTGCATGTGTTTATGTGTGCCCTTGTTTTTACTACTTATTGGGGACAATTTTTCAGGAAAATGCAGCCTCGTAGGGACCGGATGCTCCTTGTGGGGACCAAAGCCCAGTCCCCATAACTTCAGAGGCTGATTTTGTGTGTGGGGGTTAGGTTTAGGACCAAGGTTTCGGTTTGTTTTCGGGTCAGGTAGGTACCTGTGAGGTTAATGTTAGAGTGTATGGTCAGGGTTAGGATATAAAATTACCAAAAAAAGGAATGTAAGTCAATGGAAAGTCCCCACAAAGATAGCGAAACATAGTACGTGTGTGTGTGTGTGTGTGTGTGTGTGTGTGTGTGTGTGTGTGTGTGTGTGTGTGGGAGGGGTGTGTCAGGGATCTTTCTGCTGATTAT